TACAGACATTACCCCTGGTAAGGAGCTAGAAAGACACACAGACAGACACAATATATTTGCTCATTAAAAATGAGAAGAACTTGGTCTCCTCTGAGCCTGGGCCTCCCCTCTGGACCCCAAATGTATCTGGATTTAACTCCCATCAGAGCTCCATGTTGCTTAACTAGGTCCAATTAAAGCTTAATTGAACTTAACGGAGTATGTAAAAGTGAATTGAAGGTTTCAGTGTGGCACAGAGCAGGAGTGAGATGCGCTTTACAGGCACAAGTGTGAAAGTGAGGCAGTGTTCAATGGCTGGGACGCTGGGTTCCTAATTGGAAGGCTATGGGATCAAGTCCCTGTGTGGCCACTGCTGTTTTACCCTTTGAACAAAGGCACTTTCCCCAGCTCCCCAGCTTCAGTCCACCCGGGTATATCAGTGACTGAGATGGACTAGCTTTTCCTTCAGGTGAGAGGCACTCACTCTCAGCCTGCTTAGTTCCACACTAACCAAAATCTGCTCAGGCCTGTGGTCTTTCAGGTGTGAGTACAGACTGTGTTCGAGATACTGTACTGTGTCAGCTCAGGTATTTCCAGTCTGCACCAAGCAGTATGTGTGGTGCCTCTGGATATTGCTCAGTCCTCACCTTATGATTGGCTGTGGTCTGGCCAGCAGAGGTCTCTCTCGGCTCAGAATTGGAACAGCAGTCTGAAGATGTGACTCATGGCCACAGTGAAGGCCAGCACACCTGTAAAGACACCTTACAGTAACTCTTCACACATTACCATAGTTAACTCACTATATTTACTCTCCTGGCACAGCTTGGTCACAAGAAAGACCTGGTTGAACTCTGAAGCACAGTTGCCCCCTCTATCAGACTCTACTGAACAAAGCCATATGTCACCTGCACCAACAGCTCAGACACGTGGCCTGTGCTGTATGTATGACAGGTGCTGGCTGTCTGCCTGCCAGCGCACAGTATGGATGGATACATGACTTTACCTGGGCAATTGTTGCTCTTTGTGAAGGTGGCCAGCCATGGTGGAGAAGGACCCAGAGACGGGGGACTACATGGAGTTTCAGAATTCGAGGATTTCTCCAGTGAGGCTACAATTCTTCTTCCCTCCACCTGTAGCTGTATCCTCCACCTGTAGCCCTTGTTAAGTTACACATTTTAAAGAAAGGGCTATAACAGTGTTTCACAGGGGCCGCTGTTGACATATAGAATCACCTTGAACTATAACCTCTGGTATAGTTAGTGCTGCAAAAAAGTCTACATACAGTATACTATACACAAGCACGACAATACGCATCATGAAGACTGCACAGGTAACTAGGAATTTTGGTCAAGGAAAACGACAACCCTAAGAAAGATGTTCACATCTCACAAGGGGAGTTCTGGTTTTAGTAAGCTAAAGGCATCTTCCCGAAGGAAGTTTACGAAACAGGTAGAACCCTGGGCAGAAGGGGTCATCAGCAGTCTTTCCTGCCCGTTTCTTGTCTCTGGAATTGTACAAATGGAGAACTGTGATGTTTGCAGCGATATTGGTATCAGTTTTATGAAGCTCACTGGGGCATTTTCAAGAGGGATGAGCTTGGGGAGGGTGTCAGTAGGTGCATAGGTCAACTAGCCCCTGCATTCAACACACATGCATGTCTGCACAGTGAATTTAAGAGTGCCTGAAAGTGCGCTGGACGGTTTCAGACTGGTTCTGAGCTGCTGGTGCAGGCCTGTTTGTCGATTAACGCTGTCTGCTGTGCAGTCCCACTACCATGTGACATACTTCAGTGACCCAGTCAGCCGTGCCTGGGTACCCGAGCCCATGGTGAGGGCATTCCAGAAATTCAACCCAGACATCAGTGGGGCTGTGAGTATGCAGTACTTCATTTCTTCACCACAGGAACTGGTAACTGTGCTCTTAAGAGACCTAGCCTTTCAGATGTTTGTCAGTTTCTATTCTTATTTGGAACTTGCAGTTTTCTGTTATTATACCCCAAACCACAGATCATTAATGAACTCTATAGCAGCAGACTTGCTGCTACAGTACTCTTCTTCAACACATCACCTGTCAGAGACCTTAGTGTGTCAATAGCTTAACTTGTATCTTAAGTTTAACATAATGTTAAGTAAGACATCTTTTTCCCTTAACTGGGATGTTGACCACGTTGTGTTCAGCTGCTTTATATGACAGGCTTAAACTCAAGGAACACTGTTAGGAGGGAAGATTTAACCAGACCTGCACAGTTACAGTGTCTTGTGGTTATCATTCCAGCTGCATTCTGAAGGACTTTATTAGCTTGCTCAGTTTACTAATTGCGGGACATTAACATGCTTTGTCTGTATGCTGACTGAGGTTTCAGGACTGTATTGTGACTTGGGGGCCAGAGCTGGGCAACCTGATTGAAAGATTTCTGTGTCTAGCTCTCGGACAGGAGTTGCTTGGTGCACTGCGATATGCCGACACTCTTAACGGCTCTCTTCCGTAGAAACCACAAATGAAGAAGAAGATCGTCGGAGCGCTGGATATGGCAAAAAAGGCCCAGAAGCTGTCCGTTAAGGTAGAGTCGCACACAGTCCATTCCACTCTGTCTCTCACTCCCACTCTCTTCAAATCTAGTGCTTTCTTTGCTTGACCATTTGCTGCAGTGCTGCTCGACAGTGGTGAAGTGACAAATTTAATCCCTCCCTGATCACAGTGCTGAACCAGATTTTACCAGACCTGCAGAAGGGTGTGTGTGTGTATAAAACACACCAGAGAAGGGAAATTTGTCTATAAAACACAGTGGAGAAGGGAAATGTGTGTGTAAAACACACTGGAGAAGAGGACGTGTTTGTAAAATACACTAGAGAAGAGTGTGTGTAATACGTGCTGGAGGACTGTGTGTGTAAAATGTACTGAAAGAGGGTGTGCGTGTAAAACTTTGGACAATGTGTGCCTAAACTACACTGGAGAAGAGTGTCTGTAAAAGACTGGAGAAGATTGTGTAAAACACAGAAGGAAGGTGTGTGTGTAAGGCACTGGAGCTGGATACCATCCAGCTGACAGGCCCTTTTCCTGTGTCCTCCAGAAGCGGACAACTGTGTTCGGGTTCAAGAATCGATACCACCCTGGCGACGAGAAGGGCTCAGCGGAAGACAGTGATTTGGAAGGTACCACAGAAGCCACAGTGTGCTGTCTGTAGTCCTCTGAACATTTGCCTTTCAGCTTGTTCCCTAGGAAATTCTTGACTTTTCTGAAAGATTACCAGTTTTGTTGTGGTCTCAGACAGACTCAGCTGGTCACTGTGCTGCCACAGTACCCTGCGACACGTGTTTCTTATAGGCATTGACTATGGCAGCATATCAGATAAAAATTTAAAATGATCTTTCTAAAGACTAAGGGCAGTAACTAAGAGCAGACAAGTGCCCTCTACCTAGTCTTGGAGGTTTGATGTAGAGCTCTTTACTTAATATTTTCAGGGTTTAACAATCGCATTTCTCTCATTAATTAGGCCTAGAAGTGTCTTAGCTCATAGGGCTCACATCACTGATACACAGGTGTACATGAGAGGACACCAGGTTTTCTGCTCTGCCAGGAGAAGCCTTACAGAGCAGAAGGGTGATAGTGCTATGATGCCTGTGACTTGAGACACAAACGCCTGACGACCGGAAGGAGAAGAGCTTCTGCAGAGCATGGTCGCTGTTACCAGAGAGTCTTTACTATCCCCAGGAAGCAATTTGCTTTACAGCAGCAGACAATATAAAGAAAACCCACAAACAATACACTAAACAATATTTTTTTAAGCAAGGTTATTGCCACAAGTATACAGTAAATGAGAGCTGAAATCTATTTATTTTTAGATTGGAAGATCTGTGTCTGTGTTCCGAGGGGAGTAATTGGAATTCAGGGGGTGTGAAGAGTCCACTCCAATGGAATATGCTTTACACAAAACTCATAAGCGACAGGGCCGAAAGATCAGCACCAATGACTTTCCGACATAGTTCTGTAACTGCACAGGCTGCTATCCAGTGAAACTGGAGCACTGTGGAGCACGGTGGCTTGGTCCAAGTAAGGAGCAAAGGGAGAACTACAGCAGCAGACGTGCTGGTAGTTCTTAGAGCTGTGGAGGGTAGAGTGTGGGCCCTGGTGAACAGCAGTGATGCCGGCACCCTATTCTGTTTGGGCTGAATGCAACAGTTCTCACCTCACAGCTGAGAGAATGGGCCTTGGTGCCTCGCTGTGGCTTAGCCTGGGGCCTTCTGCTAATCGTGAAGCAGAGGTCAGGACTGTGTTCTGCTGCTGTTTGTTTTCCAGAGTGCCTGTATATGATCGTAGAAGGAAGTCCTGTCAGGAAGCGCCAGGGAAAATACAGGAAACGCAAAGGTGAGATTTGTTCAGGATGTGAAAGGGCTATGCAGCCGGGCACACAGGGAGGAACCATGTGCTCACAGTCATGTATATTTGTACATTAACCTCGTAGAGCTACTCAGGGTAAAATTCTAACACACTTACTCTACGGCACCTTTCTGTCAGGGAGGGTTGTGTAAAATAGGAGGAGGCCTTGACCTAGCCATCCCAGGTGGATAAGACTGGGTCTCCATTTTGCAGCGTCCCATGCTTTGACACCAAGGTAGAGGCAACACTGTACAGTGCACACACACCAGAGTAGTAGATCAGATTACTATGAAAAAAATCTGATTTCTATTCAAATCAAGTTCGGTAAGCCATAGCAAGTACTTCCTGTGGAGGTGAAGTCTTTGGCTTTTTATGGTGACGTTGCACTTGACTGGAACTGTAATGCTGAGGTCATGTGGGGACATAAGGAGTGTGAGTGGGTTAAACTCTTAGAATACCATCACTAGGGAATGCTGGCAGGGACTGGAAGTGTACAGTAGCTCAGGGTTGGAATAAAAACAGGAGGAAGTGGACAAGATGGTTTCTTGGAGAAGTTTGTAATCGTTAGAAGTGTGAGGGACACATAAGCCAGGGGCAAGCAGAAGTTGCGGACATCAGGGAGAACGATGAGAGTAATGAGGGCCAAACTGAGTACAGCAGGAGAGAATACTGCCACTGCTGGAGATGAAAGAGTATATGAGGATGCTTGTTCAGCCAACTGGTCACAGTTTATTGGAAATGGGACCTGTGAAAACGTGTTGCTGAGACTGTGTTCCCAAACAGCAAAGACACTTGTCAGACGAGTCCCACGGGAGGAGGTTGTGGTTGAAAAGAAGAAGTTGGTAGACTCGAAGTAAGTTGACACATTTTTGCATTAAATTTAAACCGTGTGGCTCCAGAGAAGAAGGCAGATTGGGAAAGGAAGGCAGCTACGACTGGTAGCATTTCCAGAAGACTGTATTCTCACTCCGTATCTGGTGTGAACATGTTAAGCTCAACTGACTGAAGTAAGAAGAAAATTCTCTGCACACTGAGAGAAACAATCAGGGAGAAGAAGCGCAGCCTGCTCTGGTCCTGGAGCAACACTGTGCCTGCTGGTTTGTGCTCCAGCCGAGTTCCTCATCACATCACAGATTGATTTCCATTTTATATTTGAGTTTGTTTTTTTCAATTTGCTTTTAGCTCTTAAAAAGCTGAGTGGGATTTGGTCCCCTTGAAATTCTCTCTCTTCGGGACCTAGATCGTTCAGTTCCTTCACCCTGTCCAGTCCTTTCCTGACCTGCACCCTGTCCAGGTACTGTAGGACTTTCCCTTAAGTCCCAGAGCAGCAATATCTTTTCTGCAACACGGTGACCAAAATTGGACTCAGTATTCCAAATGTGAAGTGATCAGAAGACACATGACACCACCTGGATGGGAATCCAGTCCCAGCAATGGAGTAAAGTACCTCACTCCAGGTACAACAGTAGTCTCTGAACCCACAGCCCACCAGTTGTGAGTCCAGAGACTTACCAACAATGCTACGCTGCCCCCCTTGTTGTAAATCATGTACTTTAATTGGGGTATTCTCTAAACCAAAGACTGAGGGCAGAAAAGATCTAAAGTAGCAAACTGATCATTTACTGGCAGTGGTTAGCACTGGTGATTAAGGGCCCATTTGGAATGGAGCCGAGCAGACACAGGGAGGCTCCTACAGGACCAGGACTGAGAACCACTAGTGTGCAGGACTGTGCAACAGTGGCATTAGGGGAGCAAGGTTCTTCCTAAGATAGAAAGGAGCCCTGAGGGCGACTGTGTCTGAAGAGAAGATGTGTGTCCTGTTTGTGGGCAGCTCTAAACCTGGAGACAGAGCCCTGGTGTGGGATGTTCTGTCCCTGGAGCAGGAGATTGCAGCAGCTCTGGATTAGTGTGAGCTGGTAGCAGGTTTACAGCAAGGACTTTGCAAGGCAGGCTGAGTGAACCCAAGAACAGTGAGTAGTTTTAACATTGTTTATAATTTCTGCAATTTACTGTTCTGTTTAAAACTTGTGATTATATAAATACACATTTTAAATCTACAAATGCAACTTATGATTATATAAATACACATTTTAAATCTACAAATGCCCCTTATTATGTATACTACAGTGTATTGTTGAATTTACCAGGTTGCTGCTACTGCCTGTTTTCTTGTACTCCTGTGCTCTTAATGGGTTCTTGTAATGTTCTGCATAGCGTCACTGTGAGACTTGTGCAGTGTTACAAAGTTCCTCTAGGTGGCAGAAGTCATTTGTGTTTTCTGCCTCATGTTCTGGGCTGTTCAGTATGAGGCTGTGGGGTGGCAGGCAGAGAATATTGCAAAATGCTTTTCTGGTTCTGACTGTTCTGCAAAATGCAAAATGTTGAAACAGAGTAAAATGTGGTTCTTTCCAAGGCTTTCCCTGTTTTACCAAGAGCTCACAAGCCGAGAAGCCATTCGACCCGTCTAGCTCATTTGTTGTTCATTTATCTGAGGATCAGGGAACTGCAGCGTCTTGGCTAGACAGCTTGCACCTGGCACCCACCAACATTGATGACTGGACTGTGCAAACTACTTTTTTTTACCAATAACTTGATGTATTTCTATGTTTAGACACAAGTTTTTAGAAGAGAAACCCTTAAAGTTGTTTCGCTTTCACAATTATTTAAGTATCAAGTGATATCTGTGACAAAAGACTGTTCAGCTAAAGAAAAAACTGGGGAAATGTCTTTATGCTTCAAAGTAACAGTACAGAAATTCGTGAGTTAATCCCCTTCTCTGCTGGTAAGCTAGAAGTATATTTGTTTCAGGGATACATTATGATAAAAATAAGTAGCAGCCTGCTGTAACCTGCGGGCTCACCACACCTGTGCATTTACCAGCAGCAGGCTCAGCCTTAATGAGTTTACAGATCAGGAGTAACGAGTCAATCATCAAGCAGCATGTGGGCGGAATTACTCTAGCTATGATCACAGGATCATGGAAGAGTGTAGGAAACTTTACAGAGAATTGTTTCTTAATTATTTCACTTGACATTTGCGAATAAGCCACTTCCTGTGCACATGGACTCCAGCTGACTTGGGAAACTGGGAAGAAATGAGAGTATCAGTCGTTTTCGAGAATCAGATGATTAGCTCTCCTGCACACCACGACCTGACCCCAGTGCACACCTCAGTGTTTACCCCTGACAGCACTGGCACACAGTGACCTGACCCCAGTGCACACCTCAGTGTTTACCCCTGACAACACTGGCACACAGTGACCTGACCCCAGTGCCACACCTCCATGTTTACCCCTACAGCCACACAGCACACAGTGACCTGACCCCAGTGCCTCATCTCCATGTTTACCCCTGACAGCACTGGCACACAGTGACCTGACCCCAGTGCCTCAT